CTTTTCAAATGGTGGAGGGTGTTCAGAGTTCGGCCCGACCGAACTTACAGCTTTTTTACTTGTTTAAAAATACAGAGATAGCTAAGAAACCCAACCTTTACAGGTTTAGTGTCTTCAGCCAAGATATTGCGTCTATTGTACAGAACTGCAATTTCTCAATATTTTCTTTCCTGGAAATATAATAAGGGACAGTTGTGAACTATGTTGTCAATAGTTTGGATTTGGGCGCCACACACAGAGAAAGTCCCCACCTGATAAGGGTTTCCATTTTTCTGCTTGTAGAAGACCATTGGCAATTTAGGTTAGACCATGATTTGCGTGGCCAAAGAAATTCACTTCTTCTGTTTTGAGCTCTTCTGTAAGAGGGCTGCTACGTCCAAAGGCTGGCTGTAGGTTGAAATCTTCATTATGAAGGTCTCCTGGATTTCAATTCAGTTTCATAGGGTACGAATGGTTCTAGATTCGAGGGTATATTGGTATTTTCGGGACTGACATTTTTCAATATTTTCTTTCCTGGAAAGATATTACGGGACAATTGTGAATTATGTGGTCAATAGTTTGGATTTGGGCGCCACACACACACAGAAAGTCCCCACCTGGTTCCATTTTTCTGCTCGTAGAAGACAATTTAGTGGCAATTTAGGCTAGACCATAATTTGTGTGGCTAAACAAATTCAGTACTTCTGTTTTGAGCTCTTCTGAAAGAGGGCTGCAACGTCCAAAGGCTGTAGTTTGAAATCTTCATTATTTAGCTAGCTTTAGTGGAGTTTTCCTGAATTTCAAATGGTTCTAGATTGAGGGGTATATTGGCATTTTCGGCAATTTTTTATGCCCTTCGAACATGCTTCCCACTTAGGTTTGGAGTTAGAATATTCGATAACATTTGGTAACTATTCTGTTGGTGTTGATTTTAGAGTTTCTACTATCCGTTTCATGCTGGTGTTCAGTTGGGCGCCAATTCGTTTTAACTTAATTGGCTATTAAGCAAGACAGGACCTTCGTATTCGGCAGTTCAATATACCAGGGGCAAGGCAGAAATTCGTAGAAGTACCCTTTAAAAGAATTTAAAAAAGAGAGCTGCTACAGCCGGAGGATGAATGTTGAAATTTTTGTTGCATAATTGTTTAGCTAGCTTTAATGGAGATTTCCAGGATTTCGATAACATTTGTAGCCATTCTGTCGATGATTAATTTTAGGGTCCAGATACTCAGTCTCAGGGTGTTTTTAAGTTGGGCGCCAATTAGCTTTACGTGTTGGTTTTTGACCCAGACAGGTGATCTGTATTCTGCCGACCAGGGACAAGGTAGAAATTCGTAGGCAATTAGTAGAAGAATTTGAAAAAGAAGCTGCTACGGCCTGAGGATGAGTGTTGAAATTTTCGTTGCGTATTTGTTAAGCCAGCTTTAATTGAGTTTTCCTGGATTACAGCTCAGATTTCAGATTGTATACTGGTATTTTCGTCAATTTATTTATACTCTGGACTTATAGCATGCTTCCGTCTAAGGTTTTGAGGTTGAGTATTCTATAACAGAAATTCGTAGGCAATTAAGCAGAAGAACCTCGGTGTGTTTCCCTTTTGAGAATTTTAAAAGAGAACTATAATGGCCTGAGTGTGTGAAATTTTCGTTGCGTAGTCTTTTAAGTAGCTTTAATGGAGATTACCTGGATTTCAGCTCAGATTCAAAGGGTGTGGATAGGCCTAGACTGGTATTATCGGCAATTTTATTATGCTCTGGAATTACAGCATGCTTCCTTCTTAGGTTTGGAGATTGAATATTCGATAACATTTGTAGCCATTCTGTCGATGATTAATTTTAGAGTTTCTGTTGTGAGTCTCATGGTGGTGTTCAGTGTGGGCGCCAATTCGTTTTCGTTTTTCAGGGTTTCCTTATTGGGCTGTTGAATATACCAGGGACAAGGCAGAAGTTCGTAGGCAATTAGCAGAAGAATCCGTTATTATAATTTAAAAAATGAGAGCTGCTAAGGCCTGGGCCTTGATGACGAAATTTTCGTAGCGTAGTCGTTTAATGGAGATTTCCTGGATTTCGATAACATTTGTAGTCATTCTGTAGTCTCATGGTGGTTTTCAGTTGGGCGCCAATTCGTTTTAAGTGTTGGCTTCTGAGCCACACAGGATCTGTGTACTCTGCGGTTGGATATACCAATTACTAGGTAGACATTTTTAGGCAATTAGCAGAAAAACATCTGTGTGTACACGTTTTATGAATTGAAAAGAGAGCTGCTACGACCTGGATTCTAAAAATTTCGTTGTTAGCATTAATGAAGGTTTCCTGGAATTCAGCCCAGATGCATGGGGTATGGATAGGTGTGTTGATATTCTTTTTTTTATACTCATGGATTCGAACATGCTTTCTTCTCAAATTTGGATATTATATAGTTCATAAAATTGCTAGCCATTCTGTCGGTCTTGTTTTTAGAGGTCCTGTTATCCGTCTCATGGTGGTGTTCATTTGGGCGCCAATTCGTTTTACGCCAACTCTTTTTTTTTTGGATAACATTATTTCTGGACTTAATTTTCTGGGCTTTTTTTATTCAAATTTTATCCGAATGAAATTTTTTCTGTCGAACATTATTTCCAGGTATTTTGGATTGAAGTTATGCAGATTATGAAGTTATTTGGATTAATTCAAAATGGAATCGAAACATAAACGTATATAGCTACTACATTTATACCATCTTCCTGAATTGACCCTGAAGTTTTTTTAAAATATTATTTCAAGGACTATGAAGGTTCAGGAAGGTACAGGGTGGGATAAAAAAAACTCCAACAAAGTCAAATGCCATAATTTTTAATGTTTTTTTTTATTTTTTTGAGTGAAAACAAAAAATGTCCGGATATCGCATCAAATTTTAGAATAAGTTCAGATTTGTTCGAATTGGTCACCTTTGGCACGAATTATGGCCTTCAAACGGCCAATGAAATCGTCACACGCTGTCCGAATGTTGTTCTGCGGTATTTTGACCCATTCCCGGTGAAGCGCTTGCCTGAGGTTATCGACACTTTGGTTTATTTTAGTGCCAACCTTGCTTTCCTTACAAAATACTCTAGACACAATAGTCCAACGAATTGGTATCCGGAGATTTTGGTGGCAATTTGGCGTTGAAAATGAAGCGAGGAACCTCATTTTGAAACCATTCTTGGGTGGAGCATGCTGGTGTGAGATGGTGCTGAGTCCTGTTGGAATGGCCCAAGGCCGTAATACACCCTCCAGAATATTTTCGTGATAATATTCGGCATTTATTCTGATGCCACGGTCTATGATTAATACAAGCGGAGAACGACCATCGGCTGTCATGGCGGACCACACTATCACCATGGCTGGCGCTTGAGTTCTGGTGGCCAACCGAAGGTTTACACTTTCAGCTGACTGACCTCTTAGGCAAGTAAACACGATCAATGTGTTAGTTTACAAACTGCTGGACAACGAATATTTTCTCATCGGAGAAAACCAAATTCGGCAGTTCACCACTTTCGGCCAAGCGCAGAAGCTATTTTGAGTCTATTTCCTTTCTATTGCGGTGTAAGTTCTTACACTTTTTGGAATTTCAATGGCTTTACCCCGAACCCACTTTTTCAATATTTGCCGAATGAGATATTGCGATATGTTCAGCTCATGAGCCATTTTCCGGCAACTGCGACGCAGGTTTCGATCGAGTCGAACCATTTCAGTCCACTTCCTTGACATCGGTCGGTAACAGTATCACGGTAACGAGGGATGTAACGACGCACCAAAGATTTATACACATTTAAATGCATGGAGAGCTCTAAGGATAGGCATTTGTGGCTTTCCAGCCAAATATAAAGAAATCACACGATCACGCTTGAATTCCACCGCGAATAACTTTTTTTCTGGAAAATTCTCACCAAAATGCCTTTCTACGCTTGTAATCGATATAATGAGCTGTCACTGGAATAATTTTAGCTGCTGTCGGATGAGTGGCTTAGAAATGACAGCTGTCTGAAGTTGGTTGCTAATTTTTCATCTCACCCTGTATGCTAAACCCCTTTCGTCTGATAGCAGCTTTACAATGGATTTGGGAATATACATTTTGACAGTGAGACATTGTCAAATGTATAATTTTGAAAAAAAAAAATAACTAAACATATGATTCCATTAGGTTACCTCATTAATTTGACCATGCCACCGCGAATAAATTCTCATAAATAAAGTTTAAGCCAACAAAGAACTCAAATGTAAACATGCTATAAGAATTGTAATATATATATTTTTTTATTTTTTTTTTTTTTTTATTTTAAAAATCTAAAATATTAATTTTATTCCAATAATTTCATTGGAATTGAGTTAATCCATTTGGTTTTTAAACACCTAAACGGTTATTTGTTGGGTATTCATGTCAACGAGTTCTTTCATACTCTAGTTGCGGCATAATATCTCTGCTCCCTTTTGCCTATGCTCTTTGCAAAATAATCACAACTCAAGTCATTGACGTAGCAAAGCAAAGCACATGGAGCAAAATGAAGGCGAAAAAGGCGGAAAAGCATGCCAAGCAACTGACTGTTACGTACAATTCCTACGAGTATAGTAAACACAGAGACACAAATACATACATGTACATACTCAGCTTTTGCATGCAAGCAAGCAAGGACCAACAAAAACAACAACAACGAAACTTTGCATAAACGTGTTGTGGAGTGACGCCATTTTACTCAGAGATAACATTTTTCGTTTGTTTTTGTTATGCTCGCATGTTACCGTTGAACTTTCTCTCTCTCTCTCTCTATGTCTCTATCTCTCTTTGTGTATTTGCTTGGCCTTAACTAGTGATGTGACATGACACACAGCTGGCCGATGCTGCTTCTTCTTTTTCTTCGTCTTCGTTGACTCGGTGAAATGTATTTTTCCCTTTAACTCATTTTCAATGGGTGGTTGACTGATTAACGAAAAAATCCCATAAGAAAATTCTATTAAATCGGAACCTAATTTAACAAAAAATAAATAAAATCGGGAAAAAATACTCACAAGTGTACAATTAAATTATTTTCACGGAATTCAAATGAAAATCTAAAGAAAAAAAAAACGGTAGAACGCAAAGTGAAAAAATGTCTGTGGGTCGTCTGTGGGGACCAGCAAAAAAATCATGAATAATCGCAACAACACCTTTAGAGTTGGCCAAACTGTGGAAATTGTTGGAAAACATTTAGAGGGACGCATTGCCTATATTGGTGTGACGAACTTTGCTCCTGGCCGCTGGATAGGTGTTGTACTCAACGAGCCGCGTGGCAAGAACAATGGACAGGTCAAGGGAATCGCCTATTTCAAGTGTGAACGAAACCATGGCATTTTTGTGCGGCCAACGCAATTGATGATGAAAAAGGCAACGGTCGTGGTGGAGGAAATGCCTCGCATGGAGGAAATGCCAAAGGGAGAGGCAGTCCAGGTAAGGAGAGAAGAGGAGGAGGTGGAGGTGAAGACGGAAATGGAGGAGAAGAAAAAGGATTTGCAAACAGCTGTTATGGCGACACCGCCACCACCCCCTGAAACACAGCAACCGCAGGCCAAGGCATTAAAACCCCCAGAGAATTCTTGCCCTGGCCAGACCCTAATGGTCAAAAAGGTACCCAAAATGCCAACCTCAATAAATCTCCTGAAGACCACAAAAATCAATCAACCCAAAGAGGTCACCCCCCTGCAGCCCAGCACAAGTCAGGTGTCGCTGCACAATATTTCCGGGCCCCTACGGAATCTAAGGCCCCCGCCCGCCTTGGCGCCCAAACGCAGCAAAACATCGATGAGCCCCTCAGAGTCATTTTGTTGTGCCAAACGTTCCTCTTTCGTCGAAACCGGATTTTTAGAGATTTTACGGCCCCAATTTACGCCCGGCCAACCGATTCGATCGCCCACATTCAGCAGCATGGCTTTGAACTCCACCTCGTCGAACAATCTCAACGATTTGAAGCAGCAGCAGAAACAAATGGAGGTCAAGCTAAAGGAATTCGAAGAAGAAATTGAGCAGTTAAAATCTCAAAAATCTGAGGATAAACGTAAATTACAGAGCATGGAACGACTGAGATTACAAAATGAACAGTTGCTGGAATTCAAGGTGCGGATCATGGATCAGCAGTCGAATTTGCAGAGAGAATTGGCGAGGTTGCGGCAGGAGCTGCGCGAATGTCAGGAAATGAAGAGTAAATATCAGAGGGATTTGGATGAGGCGGCAGAGAACATTGAGCTGCTGACACTGGACAAGGAAATGGCAGAGGAGAGGGCCGAAACCCTGCAGCTTGAATTGGAATTGGCCCAGGAACAAAACGAGGAGCTAAGTTTGGATGTGGAAATCCTCAAGGCTGAAAATGAGCGCTTCCTGTGCGGCAATGGTAATGGTGAGAATAATGTGGTCATCAACAAGGAGGAGAATCTCTCTTCGCATGGTGAAATCCGAAAATTGGAGCAATACAATCAACGTCTGCGAGAGACGGTCATCAAGCTGAGAGATGTCCTCACGGAAGAGAAACAACAGTCGATGAAAGCTTCCAAGGAATTGGAAACAAAGAATTCGGAAATTTTGGAGCTGAAAAAAACCAAGGAGGTGTTGACTCAGCGATGCGATGTCATGGAGAGCCATATTATGGATTTGCGAGAGCAGGTAGATGCCGCCTTGGGCGCCGAAACCATGGTGGCCACCTTGGCCGATGCCAAATTGGAGTTGGAGGATCGGGTGCGCCTGCTCGAAGAGGAGGTAAGTGAACTGGAGGCCTTGGAGGAGATCCATGAACAGTTAATTGAGAGCAATCAAGAGTTGGAGAGAGATTTGAGAGAGGAAATTGAGTTGTTGAATGGCAACATAAGGACCCTGCAACAGGAGAAGGATTCCGCCTTGGAAACGGTGTATGAACGCGATTGTACCATCATGAAGTTCAGGGCCTTGGTAAAGACCCTAAATGAGCGGGAACAAATCAAGGAACAAATGGCCCTTACTACGGCCGCGTCCACCACAGCCACGGCCTCCACCTCGGAGGAGTTGAACAGCATTAGTTCGAATCAGGAGTTTATGCCCGGGGTTGATTTTCAGCAGATCTTTGCCTCCACCAAGGCCTATGGCCGCGCCCTGGAACTGCAATTGGCCTCGGTGGAATTGAGAATGGTCCAGCTGCAGAATGAATATCTCAAGGCCTTCCTTCCCGAGGAACTTATGCTGCGTGGCGGAGCCTATGATGTCATCCTCATACTCATCCTCCTGCAGAGATGTATGGAAAAGATAGACATCATCTGTTCGGGGATCCATGAAAAATTCCCGGCCTCCTGTGAATTTGGGAGGGATGCCATTTTCGAGGGTTATTCCGTACATCGCTTCGCCTTTCGCACCAGGTGTCTGTATCTGCTGAGATCCTTGAAAATGGTGTTGCAACAATTGGATTTCGCTCTGAATCATTGCGACTATGAGATCTGTACTCATGCGGCCATCTATCGTGGGGAAATGGAGTCTCAGGAGCGGCAGTTGGATGAACTTCTGCGTCTGCTCAAAAAAGGCCTCTTGGATGAAAATACTCCCGTGGAGTCTTTGGAGGGGGCCTCAAGCTTTTTCAATTCCCTACTCAATAACTTATTTGCCTCGCAAAATCTGGCCGAACTTTTGGATGAACCGAAACTTTATGGCAGCCTACTCGAGGTCTATGATGTGGCCTTGGACTGTGTCAATACCCATGCCGGCTTGTTGTACACCATTATCCAGCTGGGCGATGAGCAGACCGACTCTTTTTGTAGCATGCAGTTCCTTATGGAGCATGTGCGGGCTTTCAAGCTTCAGCTAAAGCAGTTGCAGCGTAAATTGCCCAGCAAAACCATTACCTTTAGCACGCTGCAGTGGCCCCAGCTGCAGAGGTTACATGAACGCAATGACTATCTGGGACGGCTAATAGGTCTGCTAAGCTCCACGGCCCGGGAAGCCACCAAGGATATTGCCAACACCTCCAAGACAGAACTGGGTTCGGCCGGCACCGCCAATGACATTGCCATTGACCACGACCGACTGTGGCGCATCATTAACTTCAATTGCAATAAAATGGCGCCCGAGGGCTATCAAAAATCTCCGGTGGAATTTTTCCAAAATTCCATTGCCATTCTTCAGGAACAGCTCGATGAGTTCCAACAATTCATAAAAGAATCCGAAAAGGTGCTCTCGAAAAATCTCAACACCACATATGTACGCTCCGAAGAACTCACCATCCTGCAACAGGCCTCGGAGGTGAAAAAGCACTACGAGGAGATAAAACTCCTGCATCATCACATCTCCGAAAGAGACAAAGAGATCAAATCTCTCAAATGTATGGCCAAAATGAAACAAAACGATTACTCGGAGCTACAAATCCGCAAAGACATGGCCGAAAAGCAGCTGCACAAACAACAACAAGACTTTGTCGAATTAATGCAACAAATCACCGAGAAAATGGAGGAGCTACTCGACGATCTGCAGAATAAACAAATCAAATTACTCAACTCTCTGGATACAAACTCTCTCCGGCTGGAGAAGCTTGAAAAAATGCAGGTTACGCTCAAACAATCCATGGCCAATCGTTCGCAGACGCACACCAGCTGCTCTCACGATTCGTGGCGGGAAATTGAAAATCTCTCGCTATCGCTGAAGCAGCAACGTCAACACAACATTGCTCTACAATCAAAATTCCTGAAAACGGAACTCCAGAAACTTGAACCGCTCTATGTCCCCGTCAGCGGTCGGCAGACACAAAATCAAAATCTTCAACAGGAAATTAAACACCTCAACCATGAACTGAATAAATTGAAAAAATCCTGGATATTGGGTTATATCAGCCTCAATCAGGATGCCGCTTCCGTCAAGTCAGCCAACGCCACCGCCACATCTGCATCAACACCCTCCTCACCCACAACCCAACTGCAACGAGAATCAAGGCATCTGTTTGAACATATCCTGGATACCTATTATCGTTCTCATCCCCATCGCCAGATAGCCACAGATTTTGGACAATTTCCAGCTAAAGAATTGAGAGAGTTATTTGAGTAGGTATTTAAAAAATGAGAGAGGGAGAGAGAGAGAGAAAAAAAAGTAGTAGAGGGAGTGTTTAGGAGAATGTGTTTCGTAGATTTTAGAAGTTTGCCAGTATTTTAAAACCCAAAAGTTCATAGAAAACAAATTTCAATTCTTTTTTTGTTTTGGATTTTAAGAACAAAATACCTAAAATTTAATGGACCTACATAGAATACATTTATATTCAGAAAAAAACAATCTATAAACAAAAATAATCAAAATAATAACAACATTAAAGGGAATTGGAGAAGAAAGCATCAACAACAAAGTGAGATGAGAAAAATGTGTAGACGTGTCATCAGAAGAGAGGACATCTACGCTATAGTAGATGTCATCAGAAGACATCTACTCCTTAGTAGATGTTATCAGAGGACATCTACTCTATAGTAGATGTCATCAGAAGACATCTACTCTGTTGTAGATGTCATCAGAAGACATCTTCTCTATAGTAGATGTCATCAGAAGACATCTACTCTATTGTAGATCTCATCAGAAGACATCTACTCTATAGTAGCTGTCATCAAAAGACATCTACTCATTAGTAGTTGGCATCAGAGGACATCCACTCTATTGTAGCAGTCATCAGAAGACATCTACTTTATTGTAGATGTCATCAGAAGACATCTACTCTATAGTAGATGTCACCAGAAGACATTTACTCTTGTGTAGATGTCATCAGAAGACATCTACTGTATTGTAGATGTCATCAGAAGACATCTAGTCTATTGTAGATGTCATCAGTAGACATCTACTCTATAGTAGATGTCATCAGTAGACACCTACTTTATTGTAGATGTTATCTGAAGACATCTACTTCTTAGTAGATGTTATCTGAAGACATCTACTTCTTAGTAGATGTCATCAGAAGGCATCTACTCTATAGTAGATGTCATCAGAAGACATCTACTCTATTGTAGATGTCATCGGAAGACATCTACTCAATTGTAGATGTCATCGGAAGACATCTACTCTACAGTCGATGTCACCAGAAGACATCTACTCTATTGTAGATGTCGTCAGAAGACATCTACTCTATTGTAGATGTCATCAGAAGACATCTACTCTACTGTAGATGTCATCAGAAGACATCTACTCCTTAGTAGATGTCATCAGAAGACATCTACTCCATAGTAGATAACATCAGAAGACATCTACTCCTTAGTAGATGTCATCAGAGGACATCTACTCTATAGTAGATGTCATCAGAGGATACCTACTCTATGGTAGATGTCACCAGAAGACATCTACTATATTGTAGATGTCATCAGAAGACATCTACTCTATTGTAGATGTTATCAGAAGACATCTACTCTATTGTAGATGTCATCAGAAGACATCTACTCGAATGTAGATGTGATCAGAAGACATCTACTCGAATGTAGATGTCATCAGAAGACATCTACTCTATTGTAGATGTCATCAGAAGACATCTACTCTATAGTAGATGTCATCAGAAGACATCTACTCTATAGTGGATGTCATCAGAAGACATCTACTCTATTGTAGATGTTATCAGAAGACATCTACTCTATTGTAGATGTCATCAGAAGACATCTACTCTATAGTAGATGTCATCAGAAGACATCTACTCTATAGTAGATGTCATCAGAAGACATCTACTCTATAGTAGATGTCAGCAGAAGACATCTACTCTATTGTAGATGTCACCAGAAGACATCTACTCTATTATAGGTGTCATCAAAAGACATCTACTACTTAGTAGATGCCAGCAGAGGAGATCTACTCTATTGTAGATGTGTTCGGATGACATCTACTCTATAGTAGATGTCATTAGAAGACATCTACTCTATAGTAGATGTCATCAGAATACATCTACTCTATTGTAGATGTCATCAGAATACATCTACTCTATTGTAGATGTCATCAGAATACATCTACTCTATAGTAGATGTCATTAGAAGACATCTACTCTATAGTAGATGTCATTAGAAGACATCTACTCCATTGTAGATGTCATCAGAAAACATTTACTCTATTATAGGTGTCATCAGGAGACATCTTAGTTATTTTAGTGTTTATTGTTGTTGTAATTTTCCCCACTAACTACCCTTCGTCTACTTAATTTATCTATAAAAAGACAAATACAAAAAAATACAAATCTTAGCCTTGTTTTTAAATGTAACCTTATGTGATTTACTTCAAAGGAACTCAAAAAAAAACTCAAAATAATTTTTAATATTTTTTCACATGACAGCAGCAAGAAAAAACAACATAGAAAAGTATATTTTTATGTAAAGGGGAGTTCAAGGGAAAATTAATTTTTTTTTTTCATTTTTTTTTTTCAATTTTTTTTTCAATTTTTTTTAAATTTTCACAAAAAAATATATAAAACATATTTCTTTTTAATAGATTTTTTTCAAGAATTCGAAAAAAATGTTGCTTTTTGGCATATAAAAATAAATCTGTAAAAAATCTCTATTGGGGAATTTCTGGGGAAATTTCTATTTTCTCTAGAATTTGGTATTTTTCAATGGGAATGCCATTTAATAATTGGGTTTATTGAATTGAAAAATATCAAATTCCATTAAATATGGACATTTGGCTAAAATTTCTCAGTAATTTTAAAATAAAAATTTCTCATTCGGATAGAAAAGTTGACAATATTTTTTCTGATTCTAAAATTCTACAAAAAAAATGTTTAAAAAATTATAAAAAAAAAATTTGTCATTTAAAATTAATTCCCCTTTAAAAAACTCCTCTTAAAACTCAAATAACATTAAATTATTTCCGCCTAATCTCAACTTCCATATGCTTTAAGTAAAAAGTTTGAGTTTCCGCTCAGATCTTCCTAGTATATTAAAAAAAACACATACACATAAATAATACAGCAGTACCATGCATTAATTTAAGTTTAGTTAAAATTTTTAACAATAAACTACTCAAACAATTTAGCAAAACAAAAAAGTATTAATGAATGAAAATCCAAACTTAAAAAAAAAAACAAAAAAACAATAAATATTATTGTAATTGTATTACAAAAGAAAAAAGAAACAATAAATTATTATTATTATTATTATTATTGATATTATTGGTAACAAATAAAATTTGTTTAAATCTTTGTTGCAGTCTTACAAAACATAGAAAAAAAAATAAAAATTACAAATCATTAAAAACGCCATTTTAAAACTCGTTTTATTTCCCCAAAACAAATATATAACGAAATACAGCCTGAACTGTGCGATGTAAACACACCCTTTAAATCTTTCTATTGGGTGGTGGTAGTGGTGTTATCATCAAATCCCTGTAGTTGTGTGTTTTGCTGGTGGTGGGAGAACGATCTTTTGTTGTGTTATGGTTTTCTTCATCTCAACTGACCACCGTTACAAATGCATTGTTGTTATATTTGTTTGAGAGAGGGGGAGAGTCCTTCATTCAAAGAGAAATGCACCCCTGTTTCTCAGTCATTGGTCATTGTTGGGTATTTTTGTTGTTTTTTTTTTTTTGGTATTGCTTCGTTGGTGGTGGTGTTGACTTGAGGTTGTTTTATTGTTGTTGTTTTAATGCAGTGGTCAGTTTCTATGTACATAAATAGATGGGGAGAGCAACAATAACTCTCTATTGATGTTCAATTGATGTTGGACATTGAGATTCGTTCAAGGGCCAATGGGATTTAAGAAAATGCAAAAGAAAAGATTAAAAAAAACAAACTCCATCTTGTTCAATGGTGAATGGGATAAAAATAGAAAAGATCTACAGTGGGTTTATAGCAATCTTAGATAATAATAATAAAAATAATAATAAAAAAATAAATATTATTCAATTAAATAATAATTATGTTTCCTGCCGTAGTGAAGGTGATATCTGATGACATCTACAATAGAGTAAATGACCTCAAATTCTTACCAACTTAGAAAAGATTTTCTCCGATGTCATCTACTAAAATGTGGATGAGTTTTGATGCCAACAATGGAGTATAGATAACTTCTGATTGCGGCTACTGCACAGTAGAAGAACTCTTAAGTCATCCGCAAAAGAGTAGATGATCTCGAATGTCATTTATTGTAAAGTAAAAGGCCTATAATGACATCTACTGTACAATATAAGACCTCTGAAGTCATCTACAGGGTGAGATAAAAAACTTTAACAAAGACAAACGCCATAATTTTTACATTTTTTTTTTAATTTTTTTTAAATGAAAGCAAAAAAATGTCGGAAATAGCATCAATTTTTAGAATAAGTTTAGATTTATTCGAATTGGTCACCTTTGGCACGAATTATGGCCTTCAAAAGGCCAATGAAACCTTCACACGCTGACCGAATGTTGGTCTGCGGTATTTAGCCTCGGATTCGTTCCAATTTTAAATAGATGATCTCCGATATTATCTACTTGATTTTTGATGCTTATTATGGAGTATAGAAGACTTCTGATGACGTCTACGGTACAGTATAAGACCTCTGAAGTCATCTACAATAGAGTAGATGATCTCGAATAACATCTACTGTAGAGCAGATGATCTATAATGGCATCTATCAACGAGTAGATGCCCTGGTATATCATATACTGTAGAGTCGATGACCTCGGATGTCATCTACAGTAAAATCGATGACTTCGGAGGTCATCTAATGTAGAGTAGATGATGTCGAATGTCATCTACTTTGGATAAGATGATCTCGAATGTCATCTACGGTAGTGTAGATTTTTTTTTTTTTTTTTTTTTTTTTGAATCCTTTATTGAAGTTCAAGCATGATTACAATTTATGTGTCCTGCGAAGCTTTTGGCTTGTCTGCAGGATAAATTAAGTGAATATATACATTTTTATAATACAATTCATAATAGTTCAGCTAAGGTATATTAATAAATATCTTATATTAAGTTAATTTTAATATATGTAGGTATGCTTTAATTCATGCAAAAAGCGTTATTGCGAATTTAATAAATGTATTTTGAAAACTTTTTTTCTCTTTGATTTATTGCTTATGCTAAGATGGGGTACTGGTAACTCGTTCATAATTGATGGTAAACTCACGGCTAGGGTTCTTCTGCCATATTCGTTTCGGAATCTTGGGATATGATATCTTCCTTCAACTCGTCTTCTTGTATTTTGGCCATGGCTAAGATGTTGTAAAAAATTTGTATCTTCAGAAAATTCATTTAATATTGTGGCTTTGTATAGGTTTTTTATGTTTAAGATGTGTAAGTTTTTACAGAGTGTGTTGTTATTTTCCAAGTGACTGTTTCTGGAAATTGTCGTAGTTATTCGCTGCGAAGGATTATTCGTATTCGGTTGTGTTTGGTATAAGTCTGGTGTTCGTATCATTTTTTGAATAATTTTCAATATGCTGTTTTGTGCAGTTTGCAATATTCTGCAATTTGCAGCATTTCCCCATGCTGTTATACCATGTCGCAAGTATGATTCGGCAAGCGAAAAGTAAGCTTGCCTTACGACATTATAAGGTGCACAATTACTTAAATGATATATAGCATACGAGGATTTTCGCAACTTATTCCGAACGTTGTCAATGTGTAGTTTCCACTTGAAATGACTATCTAGGATAATACCAAGATATTTGTACTTATCAACGACTTCAATTTTGGTTGTGCAAGATTCCACAAAATCATTCATACTTTGATGTTTGTGTAGACATTCGTAATTATGGAAGATTATGGGTATTTGCATTTTGG